TCCATTCTGTGACCAAGTTTACCCTTTTTTTAGGAATCTCAATTTTTAGGATGGGGTGCTCTTAATAGTTTTTATTTGCCTGACATGTGTCCACCAGTCAAGATATGATTGGGTCTGAGATCCCTTGACGAACTCCCCCACTTTAGCATTCAAGAAAAGAAACAAATGAAGGAATAGAATAAAACCCAAATCCCTGTGAATTCTGAAAGCTGGAGTTGTGCACCTCACACATAAACGGCCACTTATGCAATCACCCTCAGTTATCTGTAAAACATCAAAAGTCATGTGTCCTCCAACAGCACAAACCGACACTTGGTATCCCAGTAACATTCATAGCCTCTCTCTCTCTTCAGCACAAATTCACAGCACAAACTAACCCTAGATTCAAAAGCCAACAAAATTTTCAGGTGCTTGATGTAAAGAGAGCAGAGTCTGAACCCAAGAGTAACTTTACTTACACCCTCAGGTCTCTGTGAAGAAAATAGGAGACCACAAAAGAGGTTCAGCAGTGCTTTACCTGCATTCTTCAGGAGTCTCAGGATTCATCACTAGACTCCTTTGCATTCCTTTGTAGGTCAGCATTAACTGTCAAAAGACAAAATAAGGACATATGTAAAGATCAAATTAGCTTTTGTGATTCTAGAATTGCGCTACACCCTATTTTATGAAATATAATGTGTTCTCATTAGCTTTACAGGCAGAAAAGGGCTGGTAGCAGCCTAAATGAAACAAAGAGAGAATCAGTCATGAATTGAAGTTAAAATACTTGGCATTACTAACTTATGAAGAGAAAAAGTCTGTTTGGCTCACAATTTTGGAAGTTTCAGTCCATGACTAGTTGGCCCTGTTGCTTTGGGCCTGTTGTAAGGCAACACACCATGATGGAAATGTGTGGTGGAGTGAACCTACTCATTGCATGGACATGAAACAAAAGAGGAAGAGGAAAGGGCCAAGGTTCCACTATCCTCTTTGAGGAAATACTTCCAATGACCTAAAGTTCCCCACTAGGTCCTGCCTCTCAAAGGTTCCACTCCTTCTCAATAGTGGATGATAAAGGTGAGTTCTGAGGAGAATCATCATTGTCTTGCTTGGTTACTGCACTAGTGAAGGTCATTACTATTCCCAAAGTCAACATAGAGTTAGTTTCCTCAGGTATAGGAGAAGAGACCAACACCACAGGGGTTGGGGCTGGGGATACCTCCACCACCGAGAGTGTGGAAATTTCTTCCTCTGACAAAATATAACCTCATCAGAATTTAGGAGTTCTACTACCTCAGGTTCTTCCCAAGTATCTCCATCCCAGCTTATGGGATCCCATTCTTTTCCAATCACTACTGCCTCAATCACTTTTCCTATTGCTGAGACACAATACCCAACACCCACAGCTGAAAGGAGGAGAAGTTTATTTTGGTTCACATTTCAGTCCAAAGTCTGCTGGTTCCAAGGCAGGATTACATGGCAGAGGAGAATGATGGAGGGGAGCTGCTCATAGCATGATGGGCAGGAAGCAGAGCATGTCTAGGAAGGAGCCTAGAAATGAGATCTACCCTTCTAGGTCATGCCCACAGTGACCCACAGCTTCTGACTAGACTCCACTTCTTAACAGTACATCAGCTATAATGATCCCATAATCCAATCACTTTCTCAATACATGAGGCTTTAGGGACTATTTCAAATTTAAACCATACCAAGTGCTCTTTCTATAAATGCAGATATACTGAGCATTAAACTTGTGCTATAATTCAGCCAATTGCATTATGAGGGTTTGTGGTTGGTTTTTGGTAACTTTAGCTCTATGATTAAAGGAGAGAAGAGTCTCCTTCAGGACACACTTGGCAGCCTGTAGACTGCTTATGTACACCTGGAGCTTGGAATTTAAATCTTTGAGCTCATTATTGTCCTTTATTACTTTCTTGACACACTTAGAAGTCTTTAGATTGTTTATATATGTCTCATTCTTTTCTTTTAGTAGTTTGTCCAGAGATGCTAAGAGCAACCAGCCAGCATCATTACATTTCTAACACTTCCAGAAATGTTCAAAAGTATTGTATATAGAATCACTAAATATTTTGCATCTCACAGGTGGTGCATTAAGATAATCAAATGGATCTATGTTGCATATAATTTTAAACAGTTCACATCATGGACTATTAGGACCCTCTATATTATCAGAAGGAAACACCATAGCAGTTTTAGGTCTCATCGAATTACAGGGACAACTCTAGAAACCACTAGAAAAATTATAGAAATTAATCTTTACAATTCTGTTCCTTTAGAACCATTCTCAGTACCAAAGTCTGTATTACTTAGGATTCCCAGGGGAATAATCAACACAAAATATGCACATAATTATGCAATGGGCTTTATTAGGTAGGCTTATAAGATCGGGGGTGGGGGGAGTGTCCAAGATGTCTGTCTGTGTTCTGGAGAGAGTCCAGTAGCTGCTCAGCCCAACAAGATAAAAGCTACAGAACAAGAGGGATCAGAGTTGCAGCATCAGTTCAAGGTTGAAGGTCTGGAAGCTCATGGAAGAGTTGGTGGTGCAACTCTGCATTAGAAGGCTGAAGAAATTGGAAACCGATGTCCAAAGACAATGGTGAAAATGAAGCTCTTCAGAAATGGTCACATTTTGTCCTTCTTTCCCTTTTTATTCTGTTCAGGCTATAAGCCTATTGGTTGGTGCTACCCACATCCTGAGTGAATCTTCTCCCCTCAGTTTGCTGATCTACATGTCAGTCATCCAGAGACACACCCAATACTGTATTTCACTAATCTCACAGGTTTTTCTTTTCTTTTGATTGCGTACTCCAAATTCTATTCCATTTGGTCTTTTAAAAATTTTTTATTTGTACATATTTGCAGTACATAATGATTACATTCATTACGTATTTCTACATGTACATGGCACATCTTAATTCTTTTTTCACCCCTTCTCACACCCTTCCTCACATCTCCCTCCATCTCTTTGTCCCGTTTCCTTTTGCAAAATCATAGGCATTTCTTAATCCATTCAAGTTGGCATTTAATGATTAATGGTCACACACATACAAATACACATACAAAGAAATATTGCCAGAGAGAAACAATAACTCAGGCTAAGAACAACATGTCTGTTGGGTAGGAGGATTCAGGGATGATGACATGTTCATTCTACACAGTAGGATTTGGACCATTAAAATCCACAAGTATAAGATGTGAGTAGAATCATGAATCATGTATTCATTCATTTTTTTATAGAAATGTTGAAACAACAAATCAATTAAAATAATTTCCAAATTCTTGAATTGATATTTGTCCAAAGAAGATACTATACAAATTGCCAATAATCACATAAGGATACTCAACATCTTTAGTCATTAGGGAAGTGGAAATTAAAGCCACAGTGAAGCACCACTTCACTCCAATAGGATGGTAATGACTTACTAGAATGACAAAGAAAATTGGAATCCTTGGATAATGCTGATGGGTATACAGAAAGGCACAAATGCTAACCACTTGAGGTGGCATTATTTATGAGCCCAAGTACAAACAATCCAACACATCAAAAGATGCATGGAAAAAAAATGTGACATATCCATATGCTGGAATATTATTCAGTAATAAAGTTATAATGTGAGGGCTGGGGATGTAGCTTAGTGGTGTCATGCCTGCCTGGCAAGTGCAAGGTCATGAGATCGATCCCTGGTACTGCAAAAAAAAAAGAAGTTACAATGTGAATGGACCTTGAAAATTATGGTTGGTGAAAGAGGCCAGACACAAATGTTGTGTGATTATAATTCTGTTTATATGATATAAGCACAATAGGCAAATGCATAGAGACATAATGCACATTGGGAGTTGCCAGGGCATGGAGAGGTAGTAGGGAATGTCACTTATGAGCATGAGATTTTTCTTTTAGAATGATAAAAATATTGTAGAACTTGTGGTGGTTGTTTAACAGTGTTTAACACTAGATGCCACTGACTTGTTCATTTTATGTTAATTATTAATTGTATATATTAATCCCAAAATAGTTTTATGTGAATTTTACTTCAGTCACATACACACAGGGTCACAGGTGGTGCTCCAGTTCTGGAAGATGACAGCAGACAGGGCTAAGGGCAGAACTTATGCCCTGGATTTGCTGGAGCTTCCGTGGAGAGGCCTGCAGGACAGGCAAAGAACTTAGGACTGGCTAGTTGAAAATGACAGAACCATGTGGTGTCAGGGTGTGCTAGAGCTTGGCCCAGAGCCCTGCTCCTCTTCAGCTCACCCTCTATTTGGTATAACAGAAACTAGATGAACAATGAAGTAAGATCACGTTGAGTTGCAGTGAGAACTTAGCACACAGTAAACAGAGTCAGGAGCTAGAACCAATAGGGAATGCCACCAAAATTAGGTGGACAGAGGAATCCCAGGTGGAGGAGGCTTATGATCTGTGCAGAGACAAACCTGAATGAAGCAAAAACACCTTGGGAAGAGAACTCCCAAGGTAGCAGGAGGCCAGTGCAAAGTTCTCAGATGGAGCATGCTTGGCATGACCTGCTCCAGAGGTCTGATGAATAGCAGAGCATCCAGGGAATACCTCAGGAGGGGGCAGTGGTCAGGGCCAGAGCAGTCAGGGTCACAAGAACCACGAGGGGGAAGGAGGAGGACTTTTCACCTCATTCTCAATTGAGTGGGAAGGCTTTGGAGGATGAAAAGCAAAGAATGGTACACAGCTCAGGGCTGCCATTTATATAGACAGCAGTGAGGAGTCTCCCTAGAGTTGGTGGCCTTGGTGACCCTGCAGCTAAACCCTCCTACCTAGGGCAGACATTGCTAATCACCACAGGCCCTGCTCATCCCACACGAGGCTCTCACACCCTTCTGCCCTCAGAGCCCCAGGCATACCCTGCTGATCACCCAGAGCAAAATTTTGAGGGAAGCTTTAATCTGTCATTATTTTCTCTGACACTTTGTCAAGAGAGGGACCTCCAGCGGCTTGTCTAAAAAAGATGTAGTGACACATACAGTATTTGGAGTAGACATGGTCAGTTCTTTATTGGAAAAGGGATGCAGTCTGTAATGCGACAAACTTGAGATCCTAGGAAGATATCAAGCTGAAGTTGTAGGTGGCTTCCTGTGAGCTCATAGCTGCCCTGAAAAGTGTCATGGAATTGGCAAATATGACCATGCCAACAGTTCTGCATATTTCGGACCGCATTGAGCATATCACAGTATCGCTGGCGGACGAGCCACATTCGGATGCAAGACTGCAGCTTTACAGTTGCCCAGATTTGCCGCTTGTAGAGCTCCAGTGCTTCCCACTTCTTCTTCTCCAGTTGCCTGGCTCGTGTCTGCCTCCACCAGCACTGAATGACCCACGCCCTGAGGGTGGCATGTAACAGTGTTCTTCGCAGCAGCGTGCCCCGCCACCAGGCTTGGATCTTTGTGCTTGCCTGTACCATGTCAGCAGGTGCCACCTTCTTTGAAGAGAAGGAATTTCAAGGAAAGAACAAGGACACTTCAATACATATTCTCCAAAACTTTAGTCCCAGAGTATTTTAAGAAAGTCCCCTGATCCTCTGTCAACCATCATCTCTTCCTCTTAAGTCCAAGAATCCTGTGCAGGGCAGCAGGTAGACAGACACTGGAGACCAGGAAGGTGCCTACCTCTGGCTGCTCCTCTCTGCCATGTCAGTTAATGGACACACACACACCTCCACCGCTGGGTCTCAGCGTCCCCATTCCTAGATGTGAGCCCTCCTGCTCTCGCTATCTCACCTGGTTTTCCATGGACCTGGTTGGCCAGTTTGGAGCAAGAATCCTGTGATCCATAGGCTCCACCTGGGTCTGACCACCTACCTAGCACCCCTCACCTGCCCTTCAGACCCTCCTACCTGCTGGGGAGTGGCATCCTTTGCTCCCCCTGCCCTCTCTTCCCTGACTCCACCCCCATCCACGGCCTGCTCCTCCCTCTGTTGAATCCTGATATTAAAAGTTTCCCTGGGCCAGGGATTTAGCTCATTGGTGCCGCTGCCTGCCTCACAAGTGGAAGGTCTGGAGTTCAAGCCCAGGTACAAAAAAAAAAAGTTTCCCTGCTCCACACATTTTGGGGCCTTTCTCATCTGTTTCTCACAGTCACTGCTTTTGGCCCACACCTTAAACTTCTACTAACACACACATGCATGCACACATGTGTACATGCTCCCGCAGAAATCTGGGCTTAGCTTAGTGTCCCTTAGCTTGGCCATGCATTCCCCAAACAGCCCTCATGACGCTACTCCCCAACTTTCAAGCTCCCACTCCTCAGAGTTTCTCCTTCCCCAACCAAGACTGCCTGCCTGTTATCTGCCTTTCTCAGGCTGATAGAGCAACTGGAGAATAAAACAGCAAAGCATGAGTCAATCCCTATTCATCTAGCTTTGGATTAGGCACCCCCTTCTCTTGGTTGGAGAGGATATTCTTGATTGCTGTTGGTAGTGCTGAGTAATATTTAATAGCATCACCTTCCACTCCCAAATATATCCTGGTTTGGACAATAAATTCTACAATCATCTTATGCTACAAGCCAGAAAGGAGATGCCATCAGTCTGAGGGACATGGATCAGAGATGTAGCAAGTCAAGGGTCACCCCCAATCCTGGGAGCCTGCCCACCTACCTTTGGTTTTCGTTTTGGTTTTGGTGGAGTGTTTTGCTTTGCCTTCTCCTTCCACAGAGTAGTTTCATCAATATCTTTAATTATGGTTTGACAAAGATGGCCATCCTTCTGTAACCAGAGTTTAAAAAGAGAAGTGTGGGTAAGTTGTTCATTGTACAACTAGCTGGCAATTCTAACACATACTCAACTTCCTTAATTGCCCAGTGTCTCTAGGTATTAACTGTAGAAATCCCTCTTCCCTTGGCTGCAGCTTTGAGAGGACTGGCCTTCTCTTACACAAAACTGAATACCCATGAGTTCTAGATAGATGGTTCAAATCCCTCAGTTCTGTGATCCCTTAAATTGCCCATGGTTAGGAGCTAGATGTTTCCATCATGCTCAGGTCTGCACTCCTCCATCTGCAAGTTGGCAGGAAGAGTGAGGGAAGGGAGAGACTATGATGTCATAAGGGAACCTATGACATAAGCAAATGGATGACTTCTAAAAATAGGGCACTTTTTAGTAAAAGTTTCCATCCTTTCTTGAAGAAATGCTCAAAATGTGGTTAGAGAGATGAGACACTGGAAACACTGGTTCACTGACACAAGGATGTATAAAGATAGTCATTGTGCTCCAGGTGAAAAAACATACTGAGACAATTTAAATAAACATCAATAGGAAACTCAATACATGGACTTTAGTTCAATCATATAATGTAACCAAGTAATGATGAGAGAGAGTTCATAATGGATTTCACAGTTTTTAACAAAAGGACGTTTGTGAATGGCTCAGAAACAGAAGAAAAGATGCCCAACATCATCAGTCATGAAGGAACTAAAAAAGGAGACAACAGTGATATAGCTCTAGACATCCTGAAGAATGGCTAAAATAAAAAAGCACTAGCAACATTAAGTGTTGACAGAGCAACAGCAACTCTCCAATCCTGCTGGTAGAGCAGATCAAACACTAGACTCACTATGCAAAGTGGTTTGGCAGTTTCTAATAAAGTTAAATGTGTATCAACCCTGTAACTCTGCAGTTCCACTTCTAGGTACTTACAGATGAAAAATGAAAACACTGTCTATGAAATATGTGTGCATCAATGTTGAGAGTAGCTTTACATTGATCAATCTGTCAACAGTGGAAACAACCCAAATGTCACAAACAGATGATAGGCAAAGAATCAGTCCACTCTTCTTATAATGGAATAATACTCAGCAGTAAGAGAAACACACTAATATAAAGAATAATATAGATGAATTTAAAAAATATTACACTTGATCTTAGCCAAAAGGCAGAGAAGTGATCAAAAACATTATATTAAATGAAGGAAGCCAGGCATAAGAGTACCTGTCAGATGACTCCATGTACACAAACATGCTAAAACAAGCAAAACTAATGTACAGGTAAATCCAAATACCATTTACATCTAGGGTAGAGATATAAGGAGTATTGCCTGCAATAGCACAAAACAAAGAGAAATATGTTATGTCTTATTATAATGGTGGTTACAGTTCATCAACCGAGTGCTCCCCCCCCCCATTAAATTTATTGGTACATTTTAGGTATAAAATACAGTTACATTCATCATTGGGATCTTGTACCATTACATGAGTATCTTGGTTCTTAT